AACTTTGAATCACAGGGCAGAGGAAGTGCCCACAACAGCAGAAGGGGCCAAGAAAGAAAAATTACACATCCAGAACTCCCTTAAGGCTTGTGGATACCCTAAGTGGGCCTTCACCAAAGCTAGGAAGAGACCCAACACCAACAGGGAGAAATCGGAAACAAGAGGGGATAACACTGTCATCCCTTATGTGGCTGGGTTATCAGAGAAATTAAAAAGGATCTTTCACAACCACAATATCCCAGTTAACTGTAAACCAGGGAACACCCTGCGACAGAGACTGGTCCACCCGAAGGACAAAACACCCAGACACAAACAGAGTGATGTGGTGTATGCAATTAAGTGTAGTCAGGAGTGCAACGACTTGTACATTGGTGAAACGAAGCAGCCGCTTCACAAACGCATGGCTCAACACAGGAGGGCCAACTCCAGTGGACCAGAGTCAGCAGTCCACCTCCACCAGAAGGAGAAAGGACACTCTTTTGAGGACAGTGAAGTCCAGATCCTCGCCAGAGAACATCGCTGGTTTGAGAGAGGTGTTAAGGAAGCTATTTTCGTAAAAATAGAACACCCCTCACTAAATAGGGGTGGTGGACTAAGACATAACTTGTCTTCCATCTACAACTCGGTTTTGAGATCTCTGCCCAAACATGCCCACCAGGACAATAGGCGTCGGCTGACAGGGGAGGATCCAAAGACAGGTAACGACCCTCACTGATACTGGGCTGGGCTGTAACGACTCAGTCGTTAATGGACAGTGTTGGCCTTCTAAGGACCGAAACCACACCGAGGGGGATAAATATCTCCGACTCAACACCAGTCAGTCAGAACTGATGAAGCCTCTTGGATGAGAGGTGAAACGTCTTCAATCTAGAATTCCAAGTCCAGTTGATTTACAAGGTTATTTCGGTTGCGGTTTACTATGACCTGGATGACTGAGAATCTGCACAGATAAGGTCATTTATCAATTTTATGGCCTCAGGCTCCCGTAGGACAGAAAGACAGCAGACCACAGCAAGCGGCTGGTGGTTTCAGGTCATGGGGGTCAGTGGATCTCACACATTCTCAGCACCTATAACACCTGATTGAAGAAAAAAACTGAATAATTTAGTCGACAGACATGAATATAGATTACTTCATGTATGAAGATAGAGGTCAGTGAGAGATTTTATGAAAATTATATGAATCATATGCTATTGCCTTCACATTCACCAGATCTCAACCAAATGAGAATATCTTTTATGATCTAATGTAGAAAATGCTCCCCTAGAAATGAACTTTTGATTCTTTTAGTGGCTCAGAGGATGAAAGGATTTGTAACAGTTTTAAACTTCCTGCCATAACAAGTTCAAAG